CATGACTAAACTTTTAGGATAGTGATTATATTAAGTTTTATCCATTTTTTAGCATTTTAATTTTTTTATATAAGTCTTTGTTGGTCTGTGTTTGCATTCCCAGCCTGGAGCTGGGGCAGGCACAGGACGCAGCGTCCCTTTTCCCATCTCTCTCCTCCACTCCCTCCTCTCTCCCTCCATCTCCAAATTCCTAGCCTTGAGCTCATGGCAGTTGTGCCTCAGCCTCCCAAGCACTGGTGTGTACCACCATGCCTGGCTTCTAATGTAACATTTATTTATGTATTGATTTTTTTTTTTTTTTTGTATTTTTTTAGTACAGGGTCTACAGGGTCTCACTACCCAGATCAGACTCATAGTGATCCTCCTGTTTTCAGCCTCCCAAGTGCTGGGATTACATGGTAATCCCAAACCCATGGTACCATACCCAGTCTCAGTTGCTGTCTCAGCAAGCCCTGGGGGCGGAGCTGGCACACATGACAGGGATCGAACCCTGGTGGCTGCACCTGCCTAAGCAGGCACTTTAATCCGCTGAGTTATCTGGCCAGACCCTCATATGTCATTCTTAAAAAAATGAATTATCATGAGTTCCTGCCTCACAGTAAGTTCCATTATTATTTCAGATAAGGAAATAGGCACAGAAGTCAGGAAGCTGTAGCCAGGCTCCAAGCCAGTGTGTGGCAGGAACTGGGCTCAGCCCTACATTCGTAGGACTAAGTTCCTATCACCACGCATGCATGCAGCCGGCCGGGGCAGAATGTTGGAAGGAAGAAGTTTGTGTGGGAAATTTCTCTGGAGCGAAGGAAGATGATACCCATCTGCTCAGAGCACCCGGAAGCCCCACTCCGGTCTGCAGTGAGATGGGAGAAAGCATCCTGAGCACTGATTTCCTTAGTGCCCAGCAGACCGGAAGAGGGTTGGTAGTGATCAGCGGGTGGGGGCGGAGGCAGCCTCTCAGTCTCTCTACCCTGGTGCTTCAGTCCACAGTGCTGCTGCCTTCCTCTGTGCTCCAGAAGTCCTTCTGCCCATACTTCCTTAGAGGCCTCTAGAGTATTCTGTTTTGTGCACATGCCCTAGAGTCAGCTCTTGGCTATCTAAATACCTCATTGCTCTTAGTTTCCAGTTCTTACTCGAGTGCCTGCACAGGAGAGCTGCTCTACCATGACGCATGTTGATAGAAATGATGATTTGATAGCTTGAAAATTTCTTCCAGGCCTGTGTGGCTTGGGTTTCATGTATTGGGGTCTTGATGCTCTGTGGTTGCTGCCATCATCTTAGCTTTGCTTTCCCTGATCCACCTCAGAAGGGGCAGTTCCAGATGAGTGCACTGAGTGAGCTGACATGATTTCTGCAGGTTGTGGCCCAAGAGCCCACTTTAAAGCAGCTGTCCAGCAGCGTGGTCATGGGTGCGTGACTTCTGGCCAAAGTCTCATTCATGTAGGCTGATATTCTTATCTATGAGATACAATGAAAAAATACTGAATATTACAAATTTTGAAAATTATTTCAGTAAAGGGCACATTGCCATTAATCCCCTCCAGAGCATCCCCTTCACTTGGAACACACAGATCCCCCCATCTTGCCGCTTTGAAGTAGTTCTGGAAGTCGGAAGTCCTCTTTTGTCTTTGGTTGCACTGTGGTGGCTGCCTCAGTGTCCTAAGTCTCTAAAACTTTTCCATTCCATGGTCACTTTGACTTTCGGAGACAGTCAGCACCTGCATATTTCCAGGCCTGGTGAACAAGGTGGTTGGGTACACATCTTGGCTTTTACCAGTCTACCATTCCGGTGGATGGTGCTTGGCAGAAGCATTCACCATACCACACCGTGTAAAGACACTCAGGAAAGAGGACTTCCAGAACTCCTTCGGAAAGTGGCAAAAATGATGGGCTACCTATGCTCAAAGTGAAGGGGAAGGGCCGGTGAAGCACCTGAAGCACCTGCTCAGGCAAGCTTAGACAGGCACTGGGGCCTCAGGTTTGATCCCTGGCAGCACAGGCCACACTAGCCCGGCCCTCAGGGTTGGCTGAGCCAGCCCCCCCCCCAAAAAAAAAAAAAAAGTGAGGGGGAAATTTTGAAGATGATTCATGGCCATGTGTTTTTTACTGTGATATTTTTTTTCAAAGTTTTATTGATAAACAGATATCAATGAGACAGTTTCAAATCAAATTGGAAGTACAGTTTCAACAAATAATACACTGCATATATTCTTCTTAGTGGTTAATTGCTGTACAAGATGCGGATTTGTGATCCTATTTACAAACACCATTAGAACAAATCATTCTATTCATTAAGAGAATGCAACTATATATCTATCCCAACCACTTTGAATACACAGATACAAAATGGACATTCATCGGTATACCCCATTTTTTCTAAGTTCCGTTATTGAATATTATAGGTGTGTAAACTCAGCAAAATATTCTAAAAGAGTCCAGTAGCCCATAATAGCATTGGGTCTTCTGTTTAACTGGCAATGTCAGAAATTATTGACCTGAGTCTCCCACAGCTCAACTTAACAGCATGGCTTTACTTCCTATATTTCATCTTCATACTTTTCTACTGGATGGTTAAGACCAAGGTAAAGCAGGACCTATGCAACAAGAGTTGTAGCTTTTTGGTCTGAGAAGGTCAGTGAAATGCCCTCAGGATTTATCCTGAGATCCTGTACCTCAGATTGTAGAACCTTTGTCAGTGCGGCCATGTGGATAAGTCACGGCCATTGCTTGGCCAATGTGCTCTCTGTGAAAGCCTGAGAGAGTGTCTTCTCCCCATGTGACTCTCCTTAGGCACACTCTACGTCATCGATCACTTTCCTCTTTGGCCCCATAATCTTCTTGATCAGAAAATCTGGGACACTACCGAGGTACATGATGTTACAGTACAAGTTCTCCTATGTCCTGAGTCTTAATTGACCTTAGAAGATACTGTGATATTTTTAAAAGTTTAAGCATTCGTTGTATATTTTGGTTAAATGCCACACATTTTGGAGGCTAATATTTCTGCTAGTGTTTCCCTCCTGGATGGGAGTTCTTGATAGATACCTCCACATTGGGACTGAGTATGTCTTATCACTGTTATAAACAGGATTTGAAAATATTGGTTTGCACAAAAAAGTCATGATTAGAAAAGTTTCATATTTTTTTGTGTTTGTTTTTACACATGAAAAATTATGCAGGTATGAAAAATTTGATGTTTGGAGCAGAAAACATTTAAAAGCCATTATAGGTCCAAAGAGATAGCTCAGTAGAATATGCACTTGCCTGGCAAGTGCAAGGGCCTGAGGTCAATCCCTGGTTCTGCCAAAAAACAAAACAAAGAAGACAGCTCAGTAGAATAAGCACTTGCCCAGCAAGTGCAATGTCCTGAGTTTGATCCCCAGCACAAAAAAAAAAAAAAAAAAAAAAAGTCATTACAGGGCTGGGGAAGTAGCTCGGTCGTCTAAGCTCCTGCCTCACATGTGCAAGTACCTAAGTTTGATCCCTACTACCACCTGCCTTCTGGACCTGAGCATGCTGTGCCAGTCCTAAAACTGGTCATGGTGGCACATGCCAGTAATCCCAGTACTGGGGAGGCTGAGACAGGAAGATCACTAGGAGTCTGAACTGTGTAATGAGACTGTATCAAATAAATAAATCGTCTTTGCAATAGATGAAACAGAAATGTGTCTTCCCTGGTACAAGATAGTGATCAAAATCTTCTCACATCTTCTAGGGCAATCATGACCCATGCATCGGTGCCTAAGAATGACAGAGACAGTCTTGGTATTAGTGACACACTGATTCGACTCTCTGTGGGCTTGGAGGATGAAGAAGACCTTCTGAATGACATCTATCAAGCCTTGAAGGCAGCAGTAAGTTCTCTCTCTCTCTCTCTCTCTCTCTCTCTCTCT